GAGGGAGAGAGAGAGAGAGAGAGAGAGAGAGAGAGAGACTACTCCTTAGCATATACTGTGTACTACTTTCGACAAACAGCCCCAATCAGAAAGAAGAAACTTGTGTTTAGCTTTCTGAACTGCCTGGAAGACTTTGAGAGCTATTTTGGCTGTGGCTGCCCAGTGAATGAGGTTTCTGAAATTAGTCTTTTAGAGTTAACCTTCTGAAATTAAAAAAAAAAAAAAAAAAGCCTTCAACACTCACCCTGGAAAAAAGGCTGCCTGCCAAGTTCAAATTTTCCTTGGCCAAAGTAACTACCAATTCAGCCTTTCAATGAGGTTATAAAGAAAGTATTTCTCCTTGACTTCGGAGAAAACACCTTTCATGTGACTTCCAAACTGTTACTTATTTTTTAAAGGCACACAAAATAAACTCCGCCCCCCCTTACTCCAAAACAGTGCTTGTCACTGAATTCTGTAAGATCAGAAGTCTTTTGGGGACCAGGGTGACAGGGGTCTTCTGGATGCTGGTCATGTTCTCCTTGCTGAGCTGCACACTGTCATCGCTGCGCTTTTCTGAATGTAAGCGATGCCTCAATAAAAAGTCCTTCCCAAACAAAGCAAAACCGAACACCCACTGCCCCCGCCCCCGAAGACAGCAAACATAACTTTCTGTGCTTGCACAGCCTGTGGAGAGAGCCACTTTCAGAAAACCCTCAGCAGAAAAGTCTCACACACACACAGCACAACATCAGACGGCAACCGGACGCTCAGGAAGCAAACTTGCTCCCCAAGCCGAACCATTCTGCAGCTCCCATCAGCAGCTCCCACTTTCCCAGCCTGACTGGTAGCAGCCCTGTGAGGTCTACGTTAAGAAGCTAAGCTGGCATTCAAATTGGGGCGAGGCAGAGTATGCTGATGTTTTGAACTCCCAGAGAAGTCTTCATTCAGGCCAACACAGAATGCACTGTCCTACGAGGTTACTGTATCATCTATGTGCCTCTACACAAAGGCAAAGTGGGCACTTACCTATTTGGTCTTCGGGGATCAGCGACTCAATGGGGGGGTCCAGCTCCGAGCTCTGAGACAGGTAGTTCTTCACCTGGGTCATGAACTGCCGGATGGTCTGCAGCAAGTCCGTGCTGGACACATGGCACTCCTTGTTCTCCTGCAGAAAGCTCACGTAGTCCTGCACCAGGCAGCCGAAGTAGGTGCACTTGTCCCGGGACAGCTCGGAGATCCTGCGGACCATGCGCTTCTCGGGGGTCATGAAGGAGCTGAACACCCCGCTCATCTTGCGGAGCTGGGACTTGAAGAGCTTGGGCAGCACGAAGGAGCTGTTCCTCTTCTTTTTGGACTTGATGGGGGGGGCCATGGTCTCCTGATCGCTCTCCTCTTCGTAGTCCTCCTCCAGGCTGCTGTTGGTGTCCGCCTCGTAGCCAAACAGAGGCATGCTGCGGTCGAACTCTAGCGAGTCGGAGGAGGAAGTGGAAATGCTCATGTCGCTGAGCCTCTGTCTGCCTCCATGCCACGGGGGCCGTGATTCAGAGCAGGCGGGCTGGGCCCTTGTGCAATCCCCCGGGGCCTCGGCAGGCGGGGCGCCACCTGGGCTGCCAGCTGCGCTGGGCTCCCGCTCCTGCAGCAGCTCCCGAGCCTGGTCCCCGCCAGGCTGGCTGCTGGTCAAGGTCTTTGCGCCGCCTCCCGCCTGCAGAAAAGAAGCCTGCTTCTTCAGCCGGGGTGGAGGGATGGGGGTTGGTTTCGTGCCAAGCAGAGCTACGTTCCCATGTTTGTTATGGTTGACTGTTTCTGGCATGCCTGCCCGGGTTGCAGTCCTGGACAGCTGAGGGCTTGTGTGCAGACTATTAATAGCGGGTGGCGGGGGCCTGGGTGGGGGGGACCGAGGCCTCTCGGTGCCATTCGCGTTGGGAGTCCTTGTGCAGGGCCGCTTCAGGCCTCCACTGAGGTCCTGGCTGTGCACTTTCAAGAAAAGAGGATTAATAAAACACAGGGCTCCGTTGGTCTGGCTGCACTCCAGCTCCGAAGGCGTCCTGGTTTTTATAGAATGCACTCCATTTATAAGGCAGAGCTGGCGGGAGGCGGGACAAACACCGTCTGAGGAGGGAGTCCTATGGGGAGGTGGAGGGTTTGGGGGTTTGTTGTCAGCTGGAGAGCTCCAAAAATCTGAAAGTCATCATCAGTGAACACAAGAATGTAAATACAGTACACGGGGTCATTCCTTCACAAATAAAAAAAAAAGCAGTTTCATGACAATCACAATGGAAGGGGAAGCACTTTTGTTGGTGTTTTTTTGTTTGTTTGTTTTGTGTGTTTTTGTTTTGTTTCTGTTTTGTGTGCTTTAACTGCATCATTCCCTTACTGGGAGGGTAGAAATGTTGCAGGCCCAGCCCTGGGCTCAGGCAGGCCCCAGGGATTTTCACCTTCAAAGCCCTTGAGAAATGGTGTGGCCAACATACAAAGCCAGCCCAGCCTTCTCCCAGGTGAGGCAAAAAGAACCAGATACAGTGTTTTGCCCCCCCCCCCCTTTTTTTTACAGTATAAGCTTAGAAAAGGCCAGAGGGCTCCCTGACTTTACAAAAACCAAGCCACTCTCAGAGCCACAGCACCCTCCCCAACTCCCTTCTCCTGGGATGCCCTCCACAGAGGGCGGGCAGTTCCCCTTTAATGGGCAGGAGCGGCAGCTGGGGCCTGAGGGATGTTACACAATCCGCTTGGGGTTTTACGTGTTCAGCATTAAAACCCCAAAAGGAGGAAAAAATATACTCATGGGTCCCATCAGCAAAAACGAGGACAGCAAACTTATGCAAATGCTACGTCCAAGTTCAACCATTTATCTTTGTGGTTTGCTGCCCATCCGCCCCAAATCCTATAACCTCCTCACCCAGAGCTATACATATTCAACACTCTTTGGAGCAGTACATGTTGCCTATTGCAAGTCATACTGCCAGAGTCCCCTTTTCCAGCTGGGTCTCAGTTTTCCATGCTAATCGAGGAAGGCAGTGCTGTCTGTTGTAATTTCCATCTGGAATAGGTCACTCTCTCTCTCTCTAGCTCTGTCTTGCTGTGTTTGCTTACAATGTGTTTCTTTCTTGTGGGCCCAGAATGGCTGATCATGGGGTGTGGGGGGAGACTGATATTGGGAGCACTTGCCCTGCCTTGTCTGTGATGGAAACACGCTTGATACGGGGGCTTGTGTCACCTGCCTTCTCACATCCTTCCTTCCCCTCCCTCTCGTTCTGTGCTGTCCAACACGACAGCCAACAGTCCGTTATCTATGGCTGTTGAGCACTTGAGATCCAGCTCGTGCCTCAGAGAAACTCAGCTTTCACTTGTATTTAATGTTACTTAATTCAGATTTAAAGACTGATGCTCAATTCAGTTCCTGGAAAACTGAAGCAGGCTTGGCGTTTGGGTATGTGAATCTACTTTTTCAACCGTAAATTTAATGAAATCTAAATGCACATCATGTATTTCTGTTGAAAATTTAGTGCCTAAACAGAGATATGCTGGAAGGGGAAAATACATTCTTAGTATGAAAAGAAGAATGTAAAATAGTTCATTAATATTTTCATATTGATTATATGTTGAAATAACATTCCAGATATCTTTCATCAAATAAATTATAACAATTAATTTCACCCATGCCCTTTAAATTTTCTTTAATGTGGCTACTAGGGAATTAAAAATAACACACTGGCTGGCCTTCTATGTGTTTCTATTGGCCAGTGTGGGTCTTGGTGGAACTGCTCCGACTGTCAGCCGGGGCTAACACTGGTGATGTTTGTCTTTTTCTTTGCAGGGCACTAATGCTGCCCATGACGCTTCAGTCCTTCTGCGTCAGCACAAAGCATACACTGCACGCTGAACCCCGAATCCAGGAGTTATGGGGACAGACGTCACAAGAGAAAACTGAGCCCTGATGCATGTCTTCAAGGGGTCTACAGTCTAGTTGGTTATGTTAACTTAAATTCAGGAACTGTTTTAAACGCTAAAGGTGTGTAAAACTCAGTTTGTAGGAGATGGTATAGCTTTTCAGAGGGGACGTTTATACAGCCCTAGTATTTTTTAGCAGGATTCTATTTCCGAATCCTACTACCCAACTGCCCATGGCCAGGCTTCAGACACACTGGGCAATTCTTCTGGAGCAATCCGGCTGTAGAACCGAATCTGAATCTACCTCGGGGCTTCTCTACGAATTATGCAGGCTCCCTTGGAAATGACATTGGCTTCAAAACAAACTTATATGAACAGAAAAATATGCCAAAGGGGCAATACATACATTTTTATTTGCTGGGTCAAATATAGTTTCTTAGGCTTTAGGAATCCCAGCACTTGCCCTTCGGAGTCGCAAGCTTCCATTCAAAGACTATGGCCTGGTTGTTTATCTGCAGACCGAAGCCCTACGATCTTAAGAGAATTTTCCCTTCTCATCTAGGAGGGAAAATGTTCTGTAAAAGTTAAACCCACATGAAATCCCCAGGACAGTGGGACAAAGAAGTGAAACTGGGTGAACTGTATGTCCTGACCCACTGTCAACCACTGTCTAGCAGCTCGGTGTTGGGTTTAGGGCCTCCAAGAGGCCGGAGGAGGAGCCAGTGCCGGCCAGAGCAAGGATGCTTGGCGGCGTAAGGGATGTGGCCCAGAACAGCAGGACCAGAACTGAACAAGAGAGGAAGCGCGACAGATGTTACTCTAGACGCCTGTGCTGTCAGGAGTTCCATCGATGCCCAATGCCTGTGGTTCCTCTAGAATCAAACTGATGCAGTGAGAGGCGCCACACTGGGTTTCCCTTTCTGTCAGGCACTGCCTTTCCCCAGCACGATGCCCCAGAAAGGAGAGAAATGACACACTGCGGAAGTGTGCATTACATCAGGACACTTAGGATAGCTCAAACGCAAAGACGCTGCGGGGCCATGGGGGTGTTACCCAGACAAACTCAGCGCGGCCTTTGCGGATTGGTGCAACATCTGACTTAGGAAAAGACTCTCAGAAGATGTGACACAGGAACCTTTTGGACCTGAAGTTTTACCATGGAGGTCGGGATTACTTTTTGATGAATCATCAGCCAGCCCCCCACTGACTCTGCTCCATGGAGTCATTTCAAAAGAGACCTGGGCCGGGGCCCCCACTTACTTAGTCCCAGCTGGGCTAGTTCTTCAAGCTGAGCCTCAGTCTTGGCTGTTGAAATGGCATAAGGCAACTTCAAGGTAAACGGCAGAACGTCCCTAATTTTTCAGGAGAGAGAATATTTGTAATTACGTATCATGTTGCTATCTCTTGCTTTTATTTCCATCCTAGACGTATTTTAGCTTAAACTATTTTAAGTGTCCTAAGTAGACATCAAATTCTGCCTAACTGGAAAACTTCTGCCTGTGTTAACACACTCAGGACCACATTTCCTTCCTGGTTAGTTACAATGTACCTCGGGTTAATATCGGAACTGTCGGTGGATCGATCATAGACATAAAACATTCTTACTGATTTCCTAGATGCTTGAATGTTGGCTCCCAACTCCCAGGGCAGGAATGTGCAATTTGAAACCAACATTTATTGTCCCATTGCCTTGCACGTGGCAGTTTCTCAATGAATATGGACATAAGAGTTCCCCTGTCTTTAGGGTAGTGCACATGAACCCCGGGGCGTCTGGTTATACTGCATACTCGGACTCGGAAGATCTGGGTGAGGTTGGAGATTCGGCATTTCTGCCAGACTCCAAGGCCATGCTGCTGTCCTGAGATCACACTTGGAGTAGGAAGACAAATCTACAGGACCTCGTGCAACATCCCGGCCACCACGCAGCATGCGGGCGCCATGTGTAGACCGACACACACGGCACTGCAGCAACGCAGACTCGCAGGCCCAACAAGAAAATGCTGAGCTGGCACCAGGTGCTTCCATGTCCAGGGCACAGCTCTGCCTCTAGAAAACGCATGGACCACGATCTCTTGCTCTCTCAGAAAGGGTAAAGGCAGGCTTAATAAACATATGTTCATTTTCATATATAAGGGGGAGGGCCATGCTCTAAGCATTGGCGAGTTCTTCACAGGGCTCAGCACAACGCCTCACCTTTAACAGACAGGGAGAAAGTGTGTTCTGAATAAATGAATGGATGAATGTTCAATACAATGGTGTTATTTTTTTTTTTTTAGTGGTGGTATTGGTTTTATAATGAATTCATTGATTCAACAAATGTTTCTAGTCATCTATGACATGCCAGACCCTGTTCCAGGTTGGTGGGGAAAAAAAACAGACAAAAGTCCCCACCTGCATGGAGCTTCATTTAAGTGGCCACCAACAGGCAATAAACAATTATGCAATTGACAGAATCTACGAGAAGGGGATGTGTGCCCTGGATAAAAATAAAGTGCAAAAGGGGCATAATAAAGAGTGTTCACGTGTGAGAGTTGGCCAGGGACGGCCCCAGGAGAAGATAGCGTTTGATTGAGCATCTAAAGGTGGCCAGGGAGTAAACGTTAAGAAAAGAACTCTCCAGGCAGAGGAAGCAGCAGGAGCAGAGGCCCTAGGGTGGGAGAGGGTGTGGCATCTGTGGAGAACAGCCAGGGGCCATCGTGGCTGGGGTGGAGTGAGGGACAAAACTTGGTGCTTCTGCTTGTGTTTTGTCTATACAAGATGCCCTCAAAATTTCCATTGAAGAGAATAACTATACAAAAGAAAACTTGTTGTCTACTATAAGATTAGGCAACATTCTTGGCTGCATCGGATTAAATCCGGATGACTGAGAATTTTGGAACCCTTGACGCTGCTGACAATGAATAACAAATTAGAAAGGTCAATGAGAAGAGCCAACCATAAATAAACGTACTAGTGTCACGAGGGCTCCAACACACTGCTAATAAAAATGCTAGGAGTTGGGCAGGCTAGACGGGGTCAATGGGGGAAACGGGGAACATATGTAATACTTTCAACAATAAAGGTTTTTTAAAAAAATGCTACAAGTTGGCAGTCAGGAGGCTCCCTTTTCCTGGGGTGTCTAGCCTGGGTCACCTCTTGCTTCCAGAAGACCCTTTCACCTGCCCCCAGGTGCTGTGAGCACCTCCTTCTACTTGTCACCTTGCATCTATTCCAGAGGAAGCAGGTGGAGCCTCAGGGGATGGCAGCATCTGTAATAGCTACTGCTTGACCCCGGGAGATACATGACCCTGATTATAATCTTCCACAAAGATCAGTGGGAACCAAGACTTTGAAACGCCTAAGAGCCATGCGAATATATGTTTTTATGGCTGTACCAACTTAATATCTACTTTCATTGGGCAATTTGGGGGAGAAAAGCTACATACAACACAATCAACCTGTGTTTATTTTAAGCTTTTACCTTGCCCAATCCAGTACCTTGAGCTTAAAAATCACATGACTGTTTTTGTTTTTTCTTAATGACACAGATGACAGGAAACAACACCTGCCATTTGCTAATGGGTGGTTTTAGGCTTTGAGCTACTAGAAAATTAGATGTTGTACATGAGTCCTCTCCCACTGTGCCAGCCAGGCCCAGCACAGCATCTCCTCCCAGCAAACAAGCACATGCTCACAGGCGCGCTCTCTCTCTCTCTCTCTCTCTCTCACACACACACACACACACACACACGGGGGCACTTCCTTCTCACCTACACACTGTTAAGTAAAGGGGCCCTGATTCTAAAACTTGCATAACAGATCAAATAAAGCCATCTTAGGTATAAACATTTCACCCAAGAGTTTTTTATTTTATTTTAACTTTGCTCAATACATGTCGTATTGGGGAGAACATTAACTTCATTGACCACCTACTATTGCATTGCATCCAGCACCTTACCTCATGGGGGGCCCATACACGCCCTGGGAGGAAAGTTACATGTCCCTCATTCCATAGGTCAGGAACATAGGCTAACGTAGATGAATAAGTCCCTACACCCACTCACAGAGCTGATGTGGGATGAAGTGTGGGACCCCAAGCCTGTGGATCTGTGCTGGCTAGTGGGAAAATATGGGCTTTGGTATCAACGCAGGACTGAGTTCAAATCCATTACTTGCTCCTGGTTAATTGAATGTGGGCAAGTCTCTCTCGCCAACTCACAGAGTCTTCATGATCCTAATTTCAGGGTTTCGATAAGGATTAAAGCTAATGTGTGTATGGTGCCTAGCACAGATATGGAAAGCCCCTGAAATGACAATGATATTTAATAATTAATCATGATAATTGTTTCCTCTAACCTCTTGCTACTCAAAGTGCAGGTTAGGACCAGCAGCATGGGCCTCATCGCCTGGGTGCTTGTTGGAAATGGACTCTCAGGTGCTGCCGCAGACCTCCGCAGTAGGAGTCTACATTCTAACAAGCTTCCCGGTGGTTCTGGCAGAAGTTTGCCAGGCAGTGCCCTACACTTCATTGATGACACCAACCGACAAAGAGCTACTAGGCACCACTGGCCAAGCTGTGCACCACTATTTGTATTCTCAGCTATACTTTTCAATGCCCTCCCGGTGTGGCAAATCACATGCTTACTGATCCGTGAATTCTCTCGTCTAGTGCATACGTGCATATATGCTCTGTTTGAATGCCAGAGCTAACAGTCCAGCCACCTTCTCTACCTGAATATATTCAGGTACTAACAACCAACTAGGACAGTGGTCGGCAAACTCATTAGTCAACAGAGCCAAATATCAATAGTACAATGAATGAAATTTCTTTTGAGAGCCAAATTTTTAAAACTTAAACTATATAGGTAGGTACACTGTTATTAACTTAATTAGGGTACTCCTAAGGCTTAGGAAGAGCCATACTCAAGGGGCCAAAGAGCCACATGTGCCTCGCGAGCCACAGTTTGCCGACCACGGAACTAGGACATTTCAAAAATATTTTGGTAAGAATGGATCAAATCAATTAAGAACACAGATGTACGTAAATGAGTAACATGATGGAAAGGAGAAACAAAAACATCAAGAACCTTTTCATCTTGAAATAAATAGGAAAATGAATCGCAGGTTTCCCTCGTCACAAAATGTCAACGCTGGGATTTTTCTGTAAGCACCTTATTATATTCGTTCCCATCATGCTTTGCAGTTTATAAAAGGCTTTTGCATTCTCCTTCAATCATGGAACAGCCCTGGACAGCAGGCATTCCAGTCTATTATGACATCGAGGGGAGAGATGGTATCTTTTGTGTGCTACTGCCCAATGCTGGTTTATAGGTGTAACCATGTTTCACAATAAAAGCACAGTCACCAACAAGCAAACTATGAAGAGTAACTATTGGCCACTTCACCTCTAACTGGCATGTTAGTGTTGAAAATCACTCCCAGGACCTGGTCGGCCTCCAGCCAGACCAGGTGTGGTCCCCTGGGGACGGTGGAGTCTCCTGACCCAGCTCCCGTCTTGGGGCAGCGGATGTCCTCACACAAGCCAGGGGCTCCTGCCCACAGCTTGGCAGGTTTCGCCCCCTGGGACACTGACTGGGCTCTGGTCCAATTCTAGGTGAAGCCCCTTGTTTCTCCCTGCTGGGAAGCAGCACAGGGTCCCCCTCCAAAAGGGTCTCCCCATCCTCAGGCCATCAATTGTGTGGGTTCCCCTGGCCTGGTGACCAAAGAGCTTAGTACCTGCCCCTGAAAGGCCTAGTCCAACCGGGACAAGGAACATCTAACTCAGTCCTGGAGAAATAGCCTGACCCTGAAATTCACATAAAACAAGCCAATCCCAAGTAAGCTTCTCGGCCCAGAGAGGCTGTGAGAAGTGATCTTTGAAAACAACCATGAATAGCGCATGCCCGTCACCACTCTTCCAACTGCGACAGACACAGAAAAGACACAACTGAGCTCAGAGGGGCAATCATCGCTGCAGATAAAGAGCTAGGGTCCTATATCGCTGAAAAAACACTCGATGTGAACAGCTGTTTTGGCTAGAAAGAAAAGAAAAAAAAGGTCTTGCACAACTCCCACCCTCCTGACACTTGCTAACCTCGTGGTGTTTGGCTTAGCTTCATGTCGACTGAGACAGTTGCTTTAATGAGGAAAAGGCCATGAGCACCCAGTGGCCCTGAGGGATGGTGATGCACAATGTGTAGGCTGGGTTAAGGAACCCACGTTTTTAGAATGAACTGCGCTCCTTGAAGGGTTTTTGGAAAATTTATCAAGGATCTTTCAATGTTACCGGTTGGCATAACTGGTCCCTTTCTCTCTGTGTGTGCATGTGTACGTATGTGTGCATGTGCGTGTATATGAATGTTTGTGTTTCCTCTGCTTGACGGGTCTTCGTAAAAGGAGCCATGGGAGCAGCGTGAGAACATAATCGTACTAATGAATGAGATCCTACCTTTGGAGGGGCCAGAGCAATCATTTTGATCTGAATCCTGGCACAGTGGGCTTGGTGACCATTTTATTTCAGTGGCTAATCCTTCCAGTGACGTCTAATCGGTGTACACCTGAGAGATCCCTCTACCCAATTATATTGCATCCCCAGCAGGTGTTGAAAATTATAAGAGAAGAGGCCTTACCTGCTGATGCAGTAGAAAGCAATGAGCCGGAATAAATCCGCAAAGCTGATTCCTGAGCCTTCCAGAGAAAAGGCTGGAAAAGAGAGATTTGGGAAACCAGCTGAGTGTCCCTGAGCATGTTCTGGGAAGGAAAGGCCGCCCCTGTACTGTTGCCTGCTGTGTATACGGGACCATCCCAGCGCCCAGCGCTCTCAAACAACTACTGTGCGGCTTATCAGAACCAGCTGTGAGGAGGGTGCACGCCAGCCGGAAACAGGCCAGTGCGGAGTGGATGGCCTGGAAACGCAGTCCCTGACTCACTCGGAGCACAGGCTCCAATCCTGGTAAACAGACTGGCACACACTCCAATTGCACAACTATGCCTTCCCCCAACCCCCCTCTTTTTTAAGTTCAGAATACAAAGTTGGGCAGGGGTCAAGGGGCCAGTCTGGCTGGAGAGAGAGGCCATCAGCATATGACAGGGCTTGGGGAACACCAAGGCCCCCACTGCCCTTGGCCCTCCTGAGATGGACCTCCTGGGTTACATACCGCTTTACCAAAACGGGCCACTTCTGGTAAAGACACACGGCAGAAGGAGCACAAAGCTTGGAGGACGACACAAGATCTCCATGAGTCAGCTTTTGTTTAAATTCAGTATGAAAAATTCTAAAACCCATTTACATAGAGTGCCCCCACCCCCCACCACTGCCACTACCAAGTGCACAAGTTTCCTAATGGAAAAGAAATGTCTGGCAAGATAGTGGGCCATTTGTACGTCTTCTGAATGATGGAACAGCCTGTGGTTGGACTTCAAATGTTCATGGATTTGCCAACCACTCCTCACACCATGTTTGCTGGGGTACCACTCATGCAGTCATTCTTCCCAAAACATTCCAGACATCCTTAGCTTTGGGAAGATTTCTCATTTCCTCAATCAAATGAGTTTTTCTTCCTTTTATAACACACCATATCCTCATTTATTTTGCCTATCATTTGCTTGTGTTGTATTATTTTGCTTATTTAGCATTTCTGTGGCAGCCAAAACACACCTACGCCTCCACACATATACCACAACAGAGAGACCCACAGAAACACACACTCTCACCACAACTTAGTGAGTTAAATAAGAAGAAACCATTTGGGGTAGGTTAACATCGTTGCGCCTTGGTTTTCTCATCTATAAAATGAACAACAGTAGTGCTTTCATTGTCTTCCAGCAGGGTAGTAGTGGGAACTGAAATTTTAAAAAATGGAGTAATTTATGTGAAAACAATTTATACAAAAATAAGGTGGTATTTATTATTAAACCACATTTTCTAAATGTTATGACAAAACAAGTATCTCTTTTTATAACAAGTCGTTCCTCTTCCAATTCACCTCAATTCCAGGAGAAAATAGGGCCTGGGAAGGGGCCATCACAGTGGGACCAAGGCCTGTGGTCACTAGTTATGGCACCTTAATGTTTGGTGCATAAATAGCTCTTTCAACCACTTCAAGTCCCCTGGAAAGGAATAAGGAAGTGACAGAGGTCTTGACAATAGAGGGAGGAAAACATTTTAGCTGGGAGGGACCTCAGATGAACATCAAGAACGCCACTAAAGGGGTTTCCAGACTAACTTACCATGGTTAACCTTGGATATTAGGAGGTATTTAAAAACAAGTTCTTGGCTGCAGACTTCCAAAAGCCAACTCAGCATTGCCGTTGCACCTAGTATTTAATTCGTTATCTTTAAAATGGTAGGTTTGAAATCTATCTTCTGATCACCTCCTCATGTAAATAAACTATGAATCATTCGCCAGGTTTCACGACCGCTCCTGTGCCTGCACGAGGCAGTAGTTACCTGGCACCAGTGACCTCGGGAGACCTGGAGGAAAAACATTGCAGGGCCTAGCTGAACTTGAGGCCGATCACACAGAGGTGGGGAGGTCTCGTTTCTGCTGCAAATGTCTCCTCCAGGCTCAGGGAGAGGCCACTGGCTTAGTGAGACGATGAAGGCCGGTCTGAGGAGAATCCTGTACCTGCCCTTAAACTGACCGTGATACCTTCAGGTTCTTCCCATGCAGAGACTTGGGTCAAAACTGAGAAGTGAGAATCCTGGTCTCAGCCTCGCTACTGAGACAGCCCACAGGCTTCCCCACGCACTCCTCCTGCCTTCACACTTCAGCCAGCTGACCTGCGATTTCAATGAAGCCTTTCCCTTTGGGGTGCAGACCTCTCTTCCCCCCCTTCTTGGAGGCCAGCAGCACCTGGGAACTGTGTGTTCCCTTTTAAATGTGAACCTTGGTCCCCCGATATGTCACATTTCCAGGGACTATGGAAGAAATACCAATGCTACTGAATACCACTCTCCCCTCAAAACTTAGTTAATTTTCCCAAAGGGATGGATCCTGCCTCTGATTAGCTGCATTTCCCAGAAAAGTGAACAGTGATGGCCTGGAGGGAATTGTCTGCTCAAGGGGTTATTTACAAAGATGTGCAGACACATGTTTCAGTATTTGATCCTATAAACAAACAGCCTGCCCCGAAGCTTAGTCACCAGCAAACCTGGGCACCAAATCCATGCTGCGCTTAACCGGGAAGCGGGTGAGGAAGCCAAACTCTATTGAGCCTCTGCCATAAGCCAAGCAGTAGGCTGCACACTTTGCACACAGTTGTTAAACTGAACTGTTAACAACTTTCTGAGGTTACTATCAGCCCACTACACAGATGAGAAAACTGAGGTTCCTGGGGTACCTTACCCACTCAGTCATTCAGTGAACCAACGGCAATGCCAGGGCTCAGACCCATGCCTGTCTGTCTCAAAGCACAGGCTCTTCCCACTTGCTTGAGAGGCCTGAGGATCATGTCAACCAGGACATGGTCAACCAGGACCCAACCATCCAGTGGCCACTTACTGTATGTGCTTTCCTTTATGGCAAATTCCTTGAGTGGGGCTCCAAGTTCACAGGGCAGGCGAAGGGAGAGGACTTTCTTCTGCATTTTGGTGGATTTACGCACCAGGAAAATCTAGGAGGAAAAAAAATTCAAGCTTAGGAAACTTCTAGAAGGTTGGAACCTGGGCATCTGATTTTCCACACCTCCAACAAATAGAGTCCCCCTTTATAGCTTAACTGCAAGGCTCAATGCAGGACACGCTGCTCCCTAAGAAAGGTGGGATCAGCAGCAAGCATGCCATAGGTTATGAAGCGTTCCTGGATAACTGATTTCCATGGGATTCCTTAATAGCTGACTTCCACAGAATTCCACTCTCCCTTCGACAGAACCTTCCCCAGGAGGTAAGAGCTCCCTTACTCTGCAGAAGCATTTTCAGTTTGGTGATTGTTTTCGTGTGACACATTCTCTGGCGTGGCCTTATATGGGTGTCTTGGTTGCTGAAACCTAGATTCTAAACACAGGCAACATGGCAACAATATGGGTGACGAATTGGGAATTCATTGACTAATTTGGCTCATGGGTATATTTGTGATAGAGATTTGAATGTGTTGTTAACAATGAAAAGACGGGAGTTTTTATGTGTTTGTTTTTTTCACATTAAAATCTGATTTTTTAGCTTCTCTTGGAAAATGCGATGACTTGGCAAGACCAGGCATGGCAACAATCCACTGGAGCCCAACTATGACGGCTCCATGGGACGGTGGGTAGGTGTGTTCTTAAGTTCATCACGGCCAACACCAAGGCTTGTGGTCCATTGACTCCTGACTCACTTCACTTTCGATAGCTCCCTCCAGGTCCTAATGTCTTCAGGCATGTGCTTTAACCCTCTGAGTGCCAACCAATATCCTAGGAACTATGCTAAAATTGCCAAGGCATTTTTGCTGATTTTACAGCAGTTTAGGAAAAAAAAATTATGAA